GAGAGAGAGAGAGAGAGAGAGAGAGAGAGAGAGAGAGAGAGAGAGAGAGAGAGAGAGAGAGAGAGAGAGAGGTCACGCGTCCCTGACCACCCGCGCAGCCACAATTTGACATCTTGTGTAGAGAGTTTTTAAGCGGTCGTTGATGTGAAGTCCTTTCCTGCAATGATGACATTCGTTATTCCCTCCATGCTGGCCTGCGTTCTTTACGACCTGTACCATTATCTCTTTGATGTACGATATGAGATGGAACAGACAGTCCACAACCAGCCTCGCCATTTCTCGCGAATTCGCTTTTGCAACGAACTTTTGAAATGCGTTCGTCATCATAGGCAGCGCAACAGATTCTGCATCAGCACAAGGTGCTTTGCTAGCGACGACATATGGGAAGTTGTGACGAATGTGGTGACAATTTAGTACGGCAACATCTCTGCACGCCAGCAGGGCATGCGGCACAGGCGCGCAGTCCCCGACAGTGGTCCCAATTCCTCTGGAGGTTTGCATTGTTGTGTCGATTTATTCACTTGCCTTCGTCCTTTCACCTTCTGCACTTCCCATGACAACTTCGTTCGCACAAGTCACCGTCATTTCTCCAGCCAACAACCTACCTCGTGTGTGTTGTAGGTTATCAATAACAAGCTATTCGTGAAAAGTAGACATTTCGTGAAAACTGGACTGAGTCAAAAACTTCGAGATTAATTTTCAAAAAACTATATTTTTTTCATTTCTGGAACCCATGTTCCATGTGCAATCACCAATTTTTTTGAGAAAACCAGTATTTTGGGAATCATAACAAAGTGGAGTGAAGAAGATAAACAACAAAACTAATTTAGGAAGTACCTTAAAGCTAATGGTTTGTTTGATAGAAGAAATAAAAGTTTTTTTCTAAAAAAAAAAAAAAAAAAAAAGTTTTTCGGGGAGTCGAACAAACCGCCTTCACCTTTCTCGGCCTTTTGGCTAAGATCAAGTGTGGCATCTGTTGTGATCAGTATAATATCTGATCCGTGGCCCATCTGGCCGCTAAAATAAATAAATAATAAATAATAAATAATAAATAATAAAATCCCTCCAGCTTCCTTTCGTCACCTTCCCGTACCTTGCCCTGCGTTCCTTCCAGCACCTTGCCCCGGCTTCCTCCGCCTTGCACCGCCTTCCTTCCCCTGCATTCCCCCACCTTTCGCTACCTTCAATCCACCACCTTTCCCCACCTTCCCCCCCCCGGCCTTCACCTTTCTCAGCCTTTTGGCTAAGATCAAGTGTAGTATTTGTTCTGATCAGTATAATATCTGATCCGTGGCCCATCGGAGCACTAAATATAATAATAATAAAAAATCTACCACCTTCTTTTCCATGCCTTCCCGCACCTTGCCCCGCCTTCCCTTCCGAGTATTCCCCCGCCTTGCCCTGCCTGCCCTCCCTTGCTAACCCCCCGACTTGCCGCACCTATGTTCTCCCCACGTAATCTGTCGTTTTTGAAAGTGATCGATTACGAGAACGACCGATTACGTAATCGGTCGTTGTTTTTTTTTTCGTCGCCTTCCCGCAACTTGCCCCGCGTTCCTTCCAGCACCTTGCCCCGGCTTCCTCCGCCTTGCACCGCCTTCCTTCCCCTGCATTCCCCCACCTTCCGCTGCCTTCAATCCCCCACCTTTCCCCGCCTTCCCTCCCC